ATACTACCAAATAATTTAAAAGAACAACTTAATAATATACATAAAGAACGTTTATCTTTATTATTATATAATCAAAAATATAATGAATTTGTAGAACAAATACATAATGAAACAGATTTAAAAAAACTAAAAAATGAATGGATTAGAAAAATTAATGAATCAGATTTTGTGGAAGATGATAAACAAAATCTTTATAAAATACAGGAAGAGTGAATTCGAGAATTAGAAAAAAATCAACCTGGAACTAATAATTATCAACGTATAAGAAGAGGTATTTCAAATAAAGAAAAGGTTTAATTATTAGAAGTTAATAGATATTGGTATAGAGAGATACAACAAAGCAAAAATTTACTTGAATCTCAACATATTGAATTAAATATTTTAAGAGATGAAACTTTAAAAAAACTGTCAAACAAATACTATAATGAGTTGGTAGAAGAGATACCAAAAATTGATTCAGATATAATATTACAAGATAGAGCAAGAATAGATAATAGAATTCAAGAATTAAAAAATGAAAATTTATTAATTAACAAAGATATTGCAATATTATAACAAAAACGACGAGGACATTTAGATCTTATTTTAAGAGAAAAAGAAATAGAAAATTATAAAAGATATTTAAGATTGGTTAATACATACTATCGAAGAGAACGTGTTCAAGATTTATCAAATGATAGTGATTTAGCTATAGCAATTAATAATCTTAATCAAACATTATTAAATGAAGATCAAAATAAAAATCAACTAATAGATACAAGAAAAAATCAGTATAATAATTTATTTTATGATTTAATTGAACATTCAATGCGACAAGAAGAGGATAAACAATCACTTGCAGATGGAGAAAAATATGATTTGTTAATTCAAACCTTAGAGCAAGAATATCTTGAGGAGCCACATGAACAAAATAAATTACAAGAATTACAACGAGAATTATATCTAAAAAGAAATTTTAAATTAAATCATAAAGATATTAGCACATTCTCAGAAGCCTTTGAATCATTATTAAATGATGTAATATTAAAAGAAAAGGTTTATTGTCTACTTCAAGAGTTGTTATTAGGCTATTTAAAA